TTAAACGAAAGTTCAACCTAGATTGTTATTTCTCTTTCGCTACACCTCGTTTTACAGGAGTAGGTATTATTAGTTTTAATAGAGCTCTATTACGGGATCATCATGCTTTTTACGATGGCGTGAGCAGGGTTTTGGCTTTTGACTGTTGCTATTTTTCTTTCAGATTAAGGACACTGTTTGTATGGGCCAGCGCAAGCTGGACAGTCTAATGACTTTTTTAGATACCTTGATGTGTTTTTTCTTGACTGTCATGATGTCATTGTGATTGGCGACTTCAACAGCGTTCTAAATACGCGAACCGATGTACAAGGTCCTGGCTGGGGCCGGTCTGCTTGGAATTCACGCGAGCTGCGACGCCTTGTCCACCACATTTTATTACTGGACGCGCACAATGTAGTGCACGGAAATACCTTTGTTTGGACATGGCGACGCGGACGATCCTCCAGCAGACTCGACCGGGCTTATATCCCACGAGCGTTAGAGGCGTTTTTCTCCGATTTATGCGTTCCGTCCTTCCCACCTTCTCCTGTGTACGTATCTGATCATCGGCCTATTGCCTTGAAGCTCGAAGTTCCATTTTCTTTTTTCGGCAAAGCCATGGCGTCTTGATGTTCGCGTCCTGCAGGACGCGCGCTCAAGATCAGATTTGTCACGTGCAATACGTGTGTCGCTCACGGCGTCTGGTCCTGACGATTGGGATGCGCTTAAAACACAGTGGCGCCTGCGCTGCGCAGTAGAGGGGCGTTCGCTTCGTCGACGCGTTTCTGAAGAGCCCGCTGATACTGCGATAAAGTTACGCATTGTTTCGCGCGGCGAGACGCCTTCTCCTCTGATGCGAGCGTGGCAGCGTGAACTGCGTGAACGCTTTCAACGCTTCACTGCTGCTTCGTCCCTGGCGGCAGCAGCATGGCGCTGTAGACACAACCCATGTGCACATCCCGAGGTGCTGCGCTACGCGAGACATTCGTTTTTTTGGGCAATCAGAGCCATCTGTCTCTATGAAAGCGCAAATACCACCTGCGCAGCGGCTTCCTACGCGTAATTGATCTGTTTTCTTGGCGCATTTTGAAGCAATGTCGTGTTCGGCCATGCGGACTAACTGGGATGAAACACCGCCAATGCTTAGAAGTTTGCCCCGTATTCCTCAAGAAGCTGCGGATCGCCTGCACATCCCTCCGTCGGCTGAAGAGGTAAAGGCGGCACTGGAATCTATGAAATGTGGAACGGCCCCAGGGCCAGACGGTTTTCCTGTTGAGTTTTACTTGACATTTTGGGATGAGATTGGTGCTACCTTTACCGTGGTAATCCGGCGATGCTACGAGGACGGTGTCTTTCCATCAAGTTTTCGAGATGGACGCATTGTGCTTATTCCAAAAGGTTATGCTTCCTCTGTAAATCCTGAAGATTGGAGACCTATCACGCTGCTCAACGTTGACTATAAGATATCCGCGGCGGTAGCCGTTCAACGTTTGAGGGGTCTGTCGAACACCCTGCATGGTAGGTCATCACCAGACTTCATCAGTTCTTGGGCGAGAAATACACAGCTTGTCATTTACCACACGGGATATCATAGCCTATACTCTGTCACGATCTGCGCGTGGTATCTTTGTGTCTTTGGTCCAGGAAATAGCGTTTGACCGACTAGAGCAAGCGTATATCCTTAATGTGCTCACAGCCTTCGGCTTTTCTCATTCGTTTGTGGAAATGATTAAAAAAGCATACACTGGTCTGAAAAGCACACTAGTTCTCGATGGCTGGGAAAGTGCCGCCTTTTCCATAACACGTGGGGTCCGTCAGGGATGTCCATTGTCTCCTGTTCTATTTGTCCTCAGCCTTGAGCCATATACTTGCGTGCTCTTGACACAGATTCCCGCGTCCGGGGTCTTGCGCTTCCTGGTAGCGGTGTCGTGAAAGTCGCCGCTTTCGCTGATGATATAACCTTGTACCTTTCAGATGAAGAGAGCCTTTCACTCAGCCTGCGTGTATTTTCCCAGTATGGTGACATTTCAGGTGCAGCGTTGAACATCTCCAAATCTCGGTATTTCTTTATAGGCTCTCTAAACTCCAGGCTTAGCGCCCGTTTTTTTTTTTTTTATTCAGCCGGCCGCGTCCCTTCGTATTTTAGGTATTTTATACAACCACTACGGCATTTGCGAATCCGTTTGTTTAAACGCTCTCGAAGAAGTAAGACTGAAAATTCAGGATGCACAAGATTTTGACTTCCCGCTTCTTGAGTGGAGGTGCCTTGCGCAGACCGTATTTTGCGGTCGCATTTGGTACCTTTCTCACGTCACGCAACCATCTTTACGTATCGTGCGATCACTGCAGTCTGCTTTGTGTTCCTTTTTTTTTTTTGGTCAGGTGGCACTGAGTTGGTCTCTCGCACGGCACTGGGACAGCAGCGTTCTCAGGGAGGCTTTGCTTTCCCTTCAGTGTCCATACGCTGTCGGCTGCTGGCACTGTGCTTCCTTTTGCACCTAGTGCAAGGGGAGGAATCTCCCACACGAACGCTTGCATATTAATTTCTGGGTACTCACCCTCGGCATATGATGCCTAATGTGCAATTTAACAGGGGGCCGCAGTCAGTAACATTTCCTGCGTTTTATGCAACAACTGTTCCATTTTTTTCGCCATGTCAAGTCGAGCTGTCCTGGCATAGATGTTTTGAACAACCATAGTTGAGACAACTGCTTTTTTGTTGCTTCCGTTGGTCCCGCCAGCCCACCGTGCTTGGTCTAGACGGGTGTCTTGGAGCACGTTAACGGCTTCTTTTCTGCCTGGACACCTCCGGGACTTCATGTGGCGCCTGGGATGGGTTGTGCTTCCCACTCTCGACCACCTCGAAATAATGGTCCAGCCATCATCATGTCCAAACTGCTCCCTTCAGGAAACAAATCAGCATTTTCTGAGGCATTGTGTCATTGCTCGCGTCTTTTGGAGAGCTGTACACGCCGGTTTTCGCTGCCTCAGAGTAAATTGCTTCGTTTCTTCTGGGCGTTGTTCACGAGGCCGCTTCGCTTGTCTTCTCATTTTTGCCGGCTCTTTCTGCCTCTGGTGCAACTGCTGCGAGGCGGTTGCAGCGGGCCGTCGCCGCCGCGCGCTCTTCCCGATCCTAGAACGATTGTACTCGGAGCTGTTGTCTGTTTTGTCGGAGGAGCTCTTCTTCCTCGGTAAAGAGAAATTTCTTCGGCACTGGTCTTGCCCTTTTGTGTCGTTCTGTGACGGACAAGTGAAACTTGTTTTTCGGCCGGCCTGGTGTTGGTAGGCTGATGTGTCGATGTGCCGGCAGAAATGGCATGCCAACATGTAAATACGCAAAATTTTCATATTCATGTTTATTTGTGTCTTTTGTTTACCGTGAAGTGGTTGTGTTTGTGTGAACCATCGAATGTACATGTTTTTTTCTACGTCATCTCATATCCATGTTCATGTAAATTACGTCTGTTTTGTCATCATCGTTAGAGTATGTCTAAGAAAGAAATGTTCTGTTAAATGTTATTGACGTTTGTGGCAATATAATTTTTCTAAGCAAAAACAAGTGTTTTGTAGCACAGCTACACTGACCGAGGTTGAGCAGTATTGCGCGGCTTATCGGTGTTGCGCATGCCCGAGGAGCAACAACGCCGCGAGGCGGACAGCTGGCGCGCCGTAGGAGGCCTCGAATCCCCTGGAGTGAAGTGTCACTAGTGGACTGACGCTTGACTCGCGTGAGCTAGCTCGCTAGTCCGTCCGCCCACCTCTCCGTCCGTCTGTTCGTCCACCCGTCTGTCTGTCCACCTCTCCATCTGTTTTTCATTAATCCGTCTGTCCATCTATATGTCCACCTGTCCGTCCATCTGTCCGTCCGTCTGTCTCTCCGTCTGTCTGTCCAACCGTCCGTCCGTCCACGCGCCTGTCTGTATGTCTGCCCATTCATCCGTCTGCCTGTGGGTTTGCGTGTCCGTCCATTCGCCCGTCCATCTTTCTGTCTGTCCAACCATCTGTAGCTAACGTTACGTATATCCTGGCATAGCCGAGCAAACCACTGCCCATTGTTTTCGATGCTTTAATTGCTTTCAATGTACGTCAAAATTATCAGGCCGAAGAAAAAAATCACAGCATATCCACGGGGTGAATGATGAAGAGTTTGGGGTGAAGCTCGTGAAGCAATCATTGTTACAGCGTGAAATCTTCAGTACTTTCGCCCATCAGTAATAAAATTGATAGCGTGAGCGAAATTTTATTCAAACTTCTTTTTAAATGACTGGATAAATCACTGGATCACTTCTTTATAAATAACCCGATTTTATTCTGGTACAGGTGGATTGTTCTCATTGTTGGCTTATAAATGCCGACGAAATCACGTTCATCTGTTTTTTTTTTTCTTTAAGTTCACTGTACAACTTCCCTGAACTGCTCAGGTGTATTGCTTTTCAATTCCAAGTAAGAAACTCGCCGCTCATAGACAGTTTGGTGTGTCTGCCTGCATCTGCCAATACTCTAATACTCACAGGATATAAAGCATTTATAATGCATTTTTTAATCACAGTGTTTTATTGGCTTAGAGTAATTGAGCCTTGCGCTGTTTCAACATGGTGTTGCGCATCGTAAATATCATTTGTTCTTTTGTCAAATGCGACTACGTCGTGCTCTTTTTTCATGCGATTTGTATTTGTCAGTTGCGTTCTATATTTTCCATTTTGTTCTAGCGTATTTTCGCCCTCTTGTCCTGGTTACTTTCACATTTTCGCTCTTCCTTGTCGACACTTTTTTTGTGTGGACTGTATTTTTTGTATTCTCCAATAGTTGTATCTCTACGTGAGAGGACACAAGGACGCGCTTTTCTCCTGCGCACGTGTAGGTTCACTGAATAGTTGGCTTCTTGTACCTAATAACTAAATTTGCTGACTAAACACACTCACTGCCCAACCTACTAATTGAAAACTTTCATTTCTGTTTCTATTGGAGCACTCATTCGTCTAAGCCAGTTTAGGAGACTTGCCCTTTCACCCCATTTTCAGGGTCGATCGAGCTCGAAACCACTGCTTCTTTGGATACAAGGTGGACCTTGGAAATCATCGTTATTCAGCCAGTTCCTCGAAAATGGGCCCCTGGGCATCAACGCCACCGGTAGCCTCTACTACAGGAACCACAGCCTGTTAAGGGACTTCAACTTAATCTACCTGGACCATCCTGTTGGGTCGGGATACAGCTTTGACGACAACGACCGATACCCCGGCACTCTTGATGAAGCATCGGAGCAGGCCCTGACATTCCTGAAGCGCTTTTTGAGACTCTTCCCGGAATACAAGCGCAAGGAATTCTACATCGCGGGAGAGTCGTACGGGGGTAATGCTTCTTTGTGCACTACTAAACTGCTGCTTAAGGTAGCTTTAGCGCGATATAAAGACTCTGTGCTTTACACTTCATATGTTTACAGGCAGGTCCACTTCGATGAATAGTTATCAGTGACTCACAGTCTTCATTACTTTCTTTAAAAGGAATCAGCTTGGGCAACAAAGCTAGTGAGCTTGCATATGAAATACAGAGGACGTACGCTATAGCAAAAGATTTAAACCACACCATAATGTTCCAGTGGGTGCCAAGCCACTGCGGAATCACAGGAAACGACATAGCCGATCGCATTGCGCATGCAGCACATCAAGAAAATAATATATCACTGCTACCTCTATCGATAAGCGATGCACGGTGTCTAATAAATAAGCTGAGCTGTCAACTGTCGAAGAAAACCTGGTTCGAAAATGGTGCGCGAAACTCTCTGTTGTATAACATTGATCCCGGTATAGAATTTAATATTCAGTTAAAGGTTAGCCGATCGGTAAAAACAGTCATCCATAGGCTTCGACTTGGTACAGCCTACACGAAGGCTTTCCTGTATAGAATGAGGAAAGCTGGCAGTCCTACCTGCTCATGTGGAGAAGCTCAAGAAGACGTGGAGCACATTCTTCTGCATTGTAAAAATCATGACGTACCTTGAAAGAATCTTTTTAAAAAACTCAATTTTTTAAATAAGCGACCTCCATCAATTGCAAAAATCTTGGGTCCATGGCCAAAAGGAAAGCTAAAAGCCACTGCAGCGCGTGCAGTCGTTCACTTTCTGGAGGAATCAGAAATAGCTCAAAAGTACTAGACAAAAAACTAATGTACTTCACTGTTAACCACGGTATATTTCAAAACAGTATTTCGTGTTTCATTACGATATTTTTGGGAAAATCTTACTGAAAACAGTTCAGTATTTAAGCGACAAAATCACCTTAGACATTTCGTTGAACTTTCACGTTTTTGTGTGAACACTTGAATTGACGTGATTTCTTGTGTTTTACAAACTCAGTGTGGTGCGGACACATTTATATGTAGTGTGGACACATTTCTATGTGTTGTGGACACTAGATGTTGAAAAACGTGAACTCATTGTGTAAGTGTTGTGCTATGTACATATTTATAGCCTTGTGTTTGCTACAAAATTTGCGATGCCGACTTTTGTGCAACAGAAGAGGAGTAGCCGCCGCCACGCATTGGCACCATCCTTTCCTTACATACATTTAATTAAAAAAAAGACTAAAGACTGACAAGCGCAATAGTAATGAACTTCAGTAGAGTGGCTTGTTGAAAATGAACCAACTCGCCCAACAAGCCACTCTACTGAAGTTCATCACTATTGCGCTTGTCATGATGATATGTGGGGTTTAACGTCCCAAAACCACCATATGATAACGAAAGACGCCGTATAGTGGAGGGCTCCGAAAATTTCGATTACCTGTGGTTCCTTAGCATGCACCCAAATATGAACACAACGGCCTACAGCACTTTCGCCTCCATCGAAAATACAGCCACCACAGCTGGGATTAGATCCCGCGACCTGCGTGTCAGCATCCGAGAACCTTAGGCACTGGACTACCGTGGAGGGGCATATATTGCACTTGTCCGTCTCTCGTCTTTATATCGCGCTAAAGCTAACTTAGGAATGAATCAACTCGCCCAGCCAGCCGTTCTACTAAACTGCTGCGCGCGTAATATTAGCACACAGCGTGCTCCCCAGAGTTGCTCTGTCGCGAATAAGTTAAAGTGGTTATCATTTATTTATTTATTTATTTATTTATTTATTTATTTATTTATTTATTTATTTGTGATACAATAGGTGATTGACGTGGTGCAAGAGACGAAAGACGGCATTATGAGTCACCTGACTAGGCCTGTAGCACTGCACTGTACATTCCTCACACATAGCAACAGCATTGGCCCAAAAAAAAATTCAGGATCACAACGACATTACAGAGAACTAATAACATTATGGGGGGCTTTACGTCCCCAAACCAAGACATGATTATGAAAGACGCCTTAGGGCATGACTCCGGAACTTTTGGTCATCTTGTGATCCTAAGCGCGCACCCACATCACACAATACAGGGGACTCTAGCATTTCATCATCATCATCATCAGTCTGACTACGTCCACTGCGGGACAAAAGCCTCTCCCATGTTCCGCCTGCCAACTCGGTCCTGTGCTTGCTGCTATCAATTTATACCCAAAAACTTCTTAATCTCATCTGCCCAGCTAACCTTCTGTCTCCCCGTAACCCGCTTGCCTTCTCTGGGAATCCAGTTAGTTACGCTTAATGACCAGCGATTACCCTGCCTACGCGCTACATGCCCGACCTCCGCGGCAGGGCTGGATCCAACGACGTTTGGGTCTGCAGCCGAGCACCCTATAGCCACTATTCTAACAAAGCGGACTATGGAGAACTAGAAGAAAGCTTATACAGAAAACAATCCGAGTATCGCCCCACCCCTTCCCTCTCTAAAAAACGAAATATATTCTTGTTTTTCACTTTGCTTCTTATCTTGTATCCATACGATCACTGTAACGCTAGCAGATCTCTGTTATTGAAAACTCGACGCTAAACACTTTCCCGCCAGCAATGCTACGTCACGCAGACGTGGAGCATTTGATTCGTTACCTGAACATACCTGGTGAGCGTCGCTGCAGAAAAGAATGGCATGTAGGATTTATTACCCTTACGGTAAAAAGTGGCGTATAGGCCCCAAATTTTCTTAACTTTGCTTAGTGCGCGGATGGCGTCGTTACCACTGAAATTTCCACGCCAGTGGACTTTTGTTTTCACATTGCGCTTATTTGTCAGCATGAATTCCAATCTTCACACATTTTTGAATGTAGAGAGGGGTCGAAAATTTCAAAGCTGCTATTTTCTGTATTCCTATGCCAGCGTGGCGCGGGAAACTCGTTTTGGCCAGATTTAATAAATTTAAAATTTGCTTAAGCTGACGAATGTTTCCATCACTATCGTTATGAGTGAACTATGAGAAAAGCTTTCCAAAATTATCGGTAGTGGCGGTAACGCATTCAAAGACCAAGTAAAATGGTAAATTAAAAAAAAAAGATTGAAGACTTACGAAAGGAGGATGACAGCAAGAAAAAAAAGCTATGGAATAACAAAATGTCGCCATTATGAAGAACACAGATCAATTATAAAGACCACAGACCACAGTACACCAGGTTTGTATTACACGAGATCAACTTAACGCAATAACAAATGGATATATGCAGGTCAGACGGGCCGCTCTATCACTGCACGCTCAAAGAAGCATCTCTAATCCTTCAGAAGGAATGTGACTCACGCATTTGCCTCTGCACTGCATTGAGTTTGATTGTTAAGCGTGCTTTCCACACACGGTGGTTTCTTGTTTTACACCGTGCCCACACAACAGGCAAACCTGCTAAAGCGTTCTGTACAAAAATAATAAGATTTAACTGTATCAGTCTATAATCATTAAATATTGTGGGCAATAAAATATGCCCCTATAGGCGAGGATTTAGGTGGAAGTGCGGCGTGCGGTGTCCACCTGTGTTAGCACTAAAAAACGGTGCGCATGTGAGGCAGGTACACATGTTTTGGCTGGGATCATATACAATTTCCTGACAAGATCAGAACTTCACTTTGTAAGTGCTTCTTTCGTTTGCCATCATTGTATATTTCTTAACCCACACTTAAACTTTGACGTGCATACTCATCATTCAGTATTGAATAATGTTATTGCAACAGCAGTTAATTGAATACTCCAGGTGAACCTCTGCCATCGTTGTCATGTTCCGTATATAGTGCAAATCTATTGCGCAAAAACCTGCACATTGCGTTCTGTGTGCGAGTGAAAGATTGCGAACGCTACGGACGAGCACGGCCGAAGCAGAAATGAAAACTAGCCAGCCTGCTCCAGTGAACGCGCATGAAGGGGTGCACAATAGTTGAGTGGCCACATCACTCGGTAGGTATACTACGCTCGTAAACCCATGGCCTCCGAAATTGCGGGCGCGCGGCGTGGTTGCGGGCCCGCTGCGAACCCGAAATCTCGGAGGCCATGGTAAACCAAAAGGACTCATGACTGTGTACGGGTTGTGTTCAAGAGAATCACGAAAAGCACTTCGCTCACTGGAGCGGCTGTATTTCCCTACGTCGGCGCATTGTAGACCCTGCAGCACTCGGATCCATAAGCAAAATACGGCCAGCCTTTGTATAAAATTCAAATGTGTGGCTATCGTCCTCACCAGCCTTTGTAGAAAATTCAAATGTGTGGCTATCGCACTCACCAGCCTTTGTATAAAATTCAAATGTGTGGCTATCGCACTCACCAGCCTTTGTATAAAATTAAAATGTGTGGCTATCGCACTCACCAGCCTTTGTATAAAATTAAAATGTGTGGCTATCACACTCATCAGCCTTTGCATAAAATTAAAATGCGTGGCTATCGAACCCATTGTTTCACCCTCACTGCGATATTGTGGCTCTTGCTTTGCAACATTAATGAACACTTATTCGCTTGTAAGCGCATTTTCTCGGGGCTATTCCCGAACACAGCCGTACCATGTACGTGGACGAATATTCCTAAGCCCGTCAGACATTATGGAAAGAAACGAACGTCCCTCCCATCAGTCGATGACCCTGTGAAAACTCTTACATTTTGAGCTGATATAAGTACTTCAATTCTTTCTAATATATTTTTGTTTCAGCAAGATCTTCTGTCGGAGTGGCGTACAAGGTGCTGAAGAAACACAAGCAAATCGACCTGAAGCTCAAAGGGGCCATGCTAGGCGTAGGCTTTGTGTTTCCACTGCTTGAACTCCTCAACTCGACGGACTACCTGTTTTACTCCGGACTGCTTGGCGATTTCGGCCGAAGAACATTCGCCGGCTGGTTCGACATGATAAAAGGCCTCGTCGATCAGAAACACTACTCCAAGGCTACTGAAGACCTGAACCGAATTGTTTTGAACCAGGCACCTCCGGGAAATATGACCGTATTCGAATACCTAACCGGCTTCCGACACCACGGAAGCATAGCAAGACCTCAGGAACCCGATGAAGTTGAGTGGTACATGGAATATGCGAATAGCGAAAATTTCAAGAAGATAATTCACGTTAACGTTTCCAGGGTCCTTGACGGTTGCAGGCCGTTACTCACGAAGGAACTAATTAATGGGGACTTCTACGTAGACGTTAAAAAGAAACTGGAGTATGTGCTCAACAGTACACATGTGCTTTTCTATACTGCTCAATACGATGCTGTTTTTCCGGAAATTAATATTGAATCGTGTTTCCAGAAACTACGATGGTATGCTTCACATCACTTCCTCAAGGTCAAACGGAAGCCGTGGTTCGTGCAAGGAAATCGCTCTCTTCCTCTGCTTGGTTACGAGCGCATCACTGGGACGCTGCTTTACACCAACATACTTTGGGGAGGCCACGACGTATCATTGGACAGGTCGGTAGCCATGAGCGAATTGTACCACCGCTTTCTAAGACTAAGTAGAGAAGGAAAATTGCTGCGGACAGACCTTCCGTCATGAACTTAGACACATTTCTGGGCGAAGACGAAAAGTGAGGGAGTGGAACAAAGCAGAGACCAGACCTTATGAACAACAATGAAGTTTTGCGATTGCGCCTGTGGCGGCAATCTCATCTCGCTGATACAATAAACTAAGTGAATGCAAATCCCAGTGGTATGGTTAAGCCATGCATTATATGTACTTCATTTTTAGTCTTTGTTTTTTTTCTAATCTATTGGTCCTTAGCAATGTTCTATCAATAAAATAAAGAAAAGTACTAATCAATATCTTTCCTTATAGGCATTGCGAATGCCTGCTTTCTGTGGTCACAGCCGTATACTTAACATACGCAACACAAACAAAACAAGACCACGAAAAACAACACACAGAAAACCCTATTCTGTGTTTTCCTTGGCGTAATCGTGTTTTATTTGTTGTGGTTATCTTAAGTATGCATAACGAACTAGCCCAGTCACTTTATTAAGGTACACGCCCACGTCCTCTATAACGAGAATAGTTGAACCCATATCAGCAAGAAAAAAAAAAACGTTTGCGCGCTTAGCATTTTAGGCAGAGGTGTTTTTTTAATGTAAACCAGGCGGCCAGATGCAGCGAGCGTAAATGGGCCAGACAGAACACACCGGCACTGATGAGACTGCGAGCGACGCAATCACCCAAATCATTGATTTCTTAGTAATGTACGCGTCAATAAGCGCAAAACGTGAGCACAGTGTCATCTTCGCCTCCCGGCCCCCATTGCTCTTGGCTCCTGTAAGTACAAAAACGACGTTTCGGCTCTTTCTCTGCTCAATATTGATATATTGACTGGCCGACACCGAACTATGCGAGTAATAATGAGTTTAATTAGCTTAAAAAAAGTGCAACCAGCTCCAATTCGCGTACGCCAAAGAAAAACAGAGAATCTGATTTCCCTTTTGCTCACCCTCACCCATATTTTCTCTCATTGGTTCACATCTTGTTGGTTCACCCTTTCCACCGAGCCTTGACACTACCCATCTTAGCGGTTCACCCTTTCCACCGAGACTTGGCACTCCCCCTCTTAGCGCATTTACCTCTTTCTTGTTCGCCCTTTCCACCAATCCTCGCCCCTGTTGGCACGGCCAATGCCACCTAGAAAATGTGGCATTGGTACGGCGCAACCCTTTCAACTCCTGCATAGTCCCGCTTTCGCCACGCCGTAAGACCACGTTACCAACGCTACGCCAAGGGACGGGCAAGCCTCGACTAAGAACAGTGTACTCGATTGCACAGCACTATTGCGTCGTTGCGTGGGCTCAAAGCTTCATTCCAAATCGCCATGGATCGAAGCAAGCTTTCGCCTTGACATTCTTTAATAGTTCTAAGCATCGCCCGTAAGCCCTTGGTAGCGCAGCGCATTGTGATTCTAGCGGGCATGCAGCTAGAAGTGCATCCAATTAGAATATAAGAAAATACTGAATTAGAAAGATTAAAAAAGAACAAGATTGTGGTTAATTGAAACTGCATTCAAACTGGAGTAAGCAAAAAAAAATAACCCTGACATTTTGCCAGAAAAAAAAAACAGTCGAAAACATTTCGCTCGCCTCACCTTTCTGGAGGATAGCAGTAGTCCCAACATTTTCAAAGACGGGACGCTTCGCAGGTGCATAGCGAGAAACACTCGCCATATCGATTGCCGCATTGCAGGTAAGAGTGTGGTCAGGCATCGCCGTGAGATCCAAAGGAAGATAGCCATCAACGTACAGTACAGGCAGCGTGCGGTATTACAATTAAGCTAGGACGCCGACCGAGTTCTCAACAGAGGCGATAACTGACCCGACTAAACGCGCCGTCGATCTCGCTCACTTCCTGTCAAGAGAGCGCCTCATCCCACTCAGCCTTCTCTTCTTTTAAAGTGCGCGTGACAAAGCAACCGGACGTTGTTCAAAGGCCAGCAACGCGGACGCCGGGAGATAAGGGGAAGCACGGCCCGGTGGCGCGTGGCGTGCGTCTGGATGACTGGCTGGCCCTCGCTCGCTGGATTCCGTGCCGACCGGTCGTGCCCTCGCGATCTCCGACGACAGCGCAACTGTGGCCGACTGGGTTGGTCCTACGCCACCTCCTGCCGTCAGCACCCTACGACGACGACAGCGTAGCTCTGGCCAACTGGATTAGCCCTACGCCATCTCCTGTTGCCGACAAGAGCTCTCGCCAGTGGTGCCCCGTCCTCGGACTCCTGTGACCTTGTTTAATCTTTCCTATCTTCTCTTTACTTCCGTCGTCGTTCGCTGTCCCTGCTGTCTGTCTCTACACACACACACACACACATATATATATATATATATATATATATATATATATATATATATATATATATATATATATATATATTATATATATATATATATATATATATATATATATATATATATATATATATATATATATATATACCTTTAATCCTACCCTTATAATCCCTCCTTACCCCCATCGCTTGTGAGCTACTGTTCAGGTGTCGCACCAGATGCAGACAGTTACGGGGCTCACTTTTCTCTTCTTTTCCCTTTTATAACCACAATCTCTCTCAGAAAGCTAAGCTTCGTGTAGTCCGTTGCTCTATTCGTAACAAGAACCCCGTCTTTAGCACGAACTTAAGTTAACAGAGATCTCAAGATCGAATATTCATCGTGAGCTTATCTTTTATATAGTTCAGCGGCTCAGGTGAATGTACCCTCGCATAAATCTTGTGGACAAGACAGCTTTGAAATAGGACCCCTGGCGTTGCATTCAAACTGCTTATTGCCAATTTTGCCCCCAGAGAGCCAGTTACCAATGGTGGGCCGTTGCGGAAAGCATGTCATTGCTCAATTTTCAATTTGCATGCGTGGCGAATGAAAGCGTGGGCAATTCGTTAAGCTTCTGTACGATCTCGCGGTCGTCCTAATTCATCATCGTCCGGCGTGCGTTTCGTCAACCAAATATCTACGGCGGAGTGTGTTTTCTTTCGGACTCGACCAAGAAAAAGTGGGGGAGCGGATGACGGTGACACTTGCCGCCCCCCCCCCTCTTACGCGATTTTAGTGGAGAAACCTGCGCATGATCATGAAAAATGTTTATAACGGGCACCTTGGCAAACAACAGCCGTAATGTCTATTAGGTTTCAGCCGGCTTCCACATTAAAGTTTCGCGATGGAACAAAGGGCAGCGCCTCATTACATAACGTTTGTCCACCGTATATCAATTAAGTCTATGGTGGCAGTTTCCGTTAAAGCAAAAATTACATACGGCAAGGCCGAAGACGGGTCACGTACTCACCGATTCATATAAGTCTGTGAGGGTTCTTGGACGATAGAAGCCTTTTCAGGATTCTGCGTTTCTCAACACTGCCCTTCTGGGCGAGGTGCCTAAGACATCGTATTCGGTTGCTGCCATACCATAATTATAGAATATTAGTTTCTTGTAGACTTCATAAGAAGCAACTGCACGCGAGTCACACCTTGATTTTCTCATGTTGCGATCATTCCATGTTTGCCTCATGGTGACCATTGCAGTTAACACACCTTAGCATGTGTGAAGGCTGTCTGTGACTGCCGCCACACCTTGGACATGACATCTTGTAAACGCACAGAGCACATTGGTGAGCGCGAAAGCCAAGCGAGCAAAAGAAGAAATCATGATGTTTTCATTGTTTCGCATCGGCATGTGTGCGATTGTGTGCGCGCTATAGTGAACACTAGTAGAAGGTAAGACAATGATCCCTTTCTATCAGAGCAACGCATGCCCTATTCATCTCATTCAAGAAGGGCTAGTTTTCCAAGCGCTTACAGTAGACGACGTTGCTCACGCTTCTATTGTCCCGCCTCTTGGGCGACCTGATAAGCCCATACACAAGCGAAAACTTATCACCGAAACCAACACCTCAAGGCGCCCCATAACATCATTCGTCTGAATGACAGTAACGGTCGCGACAAAATTGCGTAATTCATGTATACACACTACAACGACCAACCAATTCGTACACGAATGCGAAAGAGATGCAGATATTTTTATTAAGCTGGTTACTACCACGCGTATTCTAAAAATGCAAACAAACGTGCGCAAGATGCTAAAATTTATTATTTGAAATCCCGGGTGGCCGCTATGTACTAAGGGGGCACCGTAAAAGCGCCGCACGCACCAAATGTACTCACGTTAGGGATTAGCATGCTTCACGGCTATATTAAACTCCATTATCTGAGCTCCTATTGTTCAACGCGCCACACCAACGACATTCCTTTGCGCTGAATCGTTCGTCCTCTTCGTGAAAACAAAGAAACACACGCGCAGCATTGTCAGGCAAATACAGGCAAGGTTGATAATTGGAACAAAACTCAAAATAGCATAAAAACAATCTCGCAGCACGAGTGTATACGCATCACTGGAACTGCATTCGCCACAGTTAACGCGCCACACCGACAACGTTTGGGTCCAAAACGCCGCGACACGGTGAAGTGATGGCGCTGTTCCTTATAACGAGGAACAGCACGTCAGCCATCATAATAATACGCGTAAGGTTGACAAGTGCAACGTGAACCCAAGATGACGTGAAAACAATCACGTAGCACGAGCATGACATCACTGAAACTGCACTGCCACAGTCAAGACGTCGTCGCGAACGAGCTTCCTCTTGTTCACTTGCTTCCAGCTGACCTTCTCGGAAAGGATTCCCTTCTGCGGCGCATGCGCGACGGGTCTCCTAAAGCACTCGGCGTCCTCTTCGGGGCGCATCTTGAAGGTCACGCCGACGTCCTTGCCCTGTTGCGCCGCGTCGACGATCCTGAGCGACACCTGCTTGGCAAACGGCCACGACGCGAGATCGTCTTCGTTTCCGGCGCACAGGGTGAAGAGGAAGCGGACGCTTTCTATTTTGCCCTTCTTCGACTCGAACTTGCAGGCCAGGTTGAACGTGTAGCCGTCCAGCGTACTGGGCTGATCGAAGGGCTTGAGGAGCCGGGCCTCCTTGCCGTTGTACGTGCAGGTAACCGCAGAGCCTGCGCACCGACGGTAAACGTGTCACTTTTAAAGCTTATATTGCTCGAGCCGACGTCGATCATTGGTTTTACACAGTCGTGCACAAATCCAAGAAACAGCGTTATATCATATCGAATCGAATACATTTCTTGGATGTTCTCCTGGAAAAGAACGTAAGCCACTGATAGGCATAGTTATTGGGTTAATGGAAGACTGGTACCGTGTCTTTAAAAGTCTAACACCTGCAGTTCTAACGTCAATGTCGACGTGACAGAATTAGAAACACTCGCTGGCGGCGTGTGGCAATGGGCTGGCTATGAAGAAGCTGTTCAAGCAGATGTAAACAGGAGTGTTGCGAGTTTTCTTTAACTGTTCTTGCCTAGGGTCAGTAGCCACAATCCTAAGAGAGGCACTACACCATCAGGTCGTGATGCGTATGGGCTTTGAAACAACAGCTTGTGCCAGCGACAAACTGTATCTAAGTTAATTACATTTACCGCTGTTTGTAAAGTCTGGATTTGTCTTTTAAGTCCACAGCAGCAAAATGACGCCATTTTAGCGCTTCTGTAATGTTCTAACGCAGGAGAAATGACTGACGAACTTTGTGGCTTTTGCGTTCTACTGTGGCAGACAGTAAAAAACGTGAACAAAAGGCAAGAAGGCACTTTCGGTTTACTCGTCTGTGTTACATATAGCCGAGCTCTAGGCTACTTTACTATTAACGCGGCATTAGACATTGATGCCTGCATTACGCAGAGCTTCAGCATATGTGCAGTAACCGAAAGAAAACATGTGCTTTATAGAGCTGGGCTGGTACGTAACTATTCATAAACACGGAGTGCAAGCATGCACACAACAAAGAAGTGAGGACATCACAAACACTACGCTTGTGATGTCTTCACATATCTTTCATTCGTCCGCCATGGCCCGCCCTGTCTTTAAGAATGAACGTGCTTTATGGAACATGGTACTGCCGAACAGCAACGCCAACTGCTGTCTCTGGCGTTGTTGCTTTCTTTCCCTCGTCCGTGTCCTGTTCACCGGTAACTGTTACATAGCTATAACCACGACAAATCAGCCGGGCTGTTTACGCTTAACGAGTACTCACCTACTGCCAGGTGACACAACGATTCCTTAGGCAGGGTGTCCATGGTGCCTGGCTGCGGTTCGTCGACGACGCCAGTCGCAGGGTCAGCCTCCCTGGGAACCACGGAGTCGTCAGTGTCAGCTCTGAAACGTTCCAAGCCTTGTTTACTCGACCTTCCTCCCATGTTTCCCGGTGCTGGGACGTGCTGCTGACACCACGACAAATTCCGAACTGCAGTTGCTTCTAGTGCCAATGCAACAAGAGCAAACGCCCGCGAGAACGCTGCGGCAGCATTCGTGATAGAGACGATAAAGAGCCGCCCTCTGACAATCGATAATAATCAGCCGAGAATGAAAACGTGCAGATCTTTATATCGTTAACGTCCGCCGTCACCCTGACTGCGCATGCTCCAAGTTTTATTTACTGCTCGTAAGGCTGCTCTGCTGCTCACACGAAAGCAGAGGGTTCGACCCTCGCAGCGGCGGTCGCATTTCGAATAATTTACATGGACTTCAACATTTTGCCATTTCTCGCGATTTGCGTGCTTGCGCAATATCTAGATATGCAGTCAGCCTGAGTATTCCTTTACAACAATATCTGTGATTTTAAGCCCCCAAAGTCGGGATATGGTCAAGCAGGATGCCGCAGTCGAAGGCTGTGGAAATGTCGGCCATCCGGTGTTATTTTACACCGGATGGTAACACAGTAAAATGACATCGCATAACACAATGGCCTGTAGTATGTCGCCTTCTTTCGAATGCGACCGCCGCAGTCGGCATCAAAACCGCGACGTTCAAAGCTGCAGCGGCCAAGGCGTTACAGAAGCGCAGGAGGTCAAAATTTCTGGCACCCGCCACGCAGGAGTGCCACAATATCACGTCGTTTTTTTTTTTTTGGCTCGTAAAACCCCAGATATTGTATTACTACGTTATCCATACAGAATTTACACAAGGCTGGCAGATTTCATAACTTTCACGCTTAAGCAATATCCGGTAGCGCTGAGGCTGATTACTTCCTTTTAAAGACTTCCATGCTCCTTACTCTCTGCCGTAAGAAAAAAATAAATAATTAAAGAAAAAGCGAATCATCAGGATTTACCATCACATATTATCTGTCGAAGTGTCGGGCGGCAAAACTCGAAGGCACGTGGTCCGGAATTGACAGTATATCGTTAATTAAACACTGACGGAACAAGTTTGGCTGAGTGCAGATGTGAGGCCGACATGGCGCCTCTCTTAAGGAATTGAGAGGAGAGCTTCCGCTCTCGTCTTTCGCCTTTGGCGCACACGCCCGCGTAGACGTGTGCACAACAGGTGAAGTACGCCGTATAAGATTCCAGTAAATGGTGCCGAGTTAAAGGGTAAAGATTCTCCGGCTGTGTGCACTATATATACACTACAGTGTGCACCCCCAGGAAAATGATAGCCCCATCAGGCATCAGGTCACGTCTTTACAGGAAACTGCTGCAGACCAGAGATCACTCAGACTCACCCTGTAGCACTATATCTTTCACTTGGGGCTCCCTAAACTGACCAAATTAGCTTTCGTAAACCATACTCGCTCGTATTTATGCTTATACTAAAGCTTTTCCTCCGCCTGATTCAAACTTCCCAAAATATTACTCACTTAGACTCTGACTGACGGCTCCATCTGAGTATGATGAGTCGACTCGTGAGCAGGCTTGCCGACTTACGCCGCTGGCCGATAGTTCCTTAGTGGGGCCCCAGTTGAAACAGGCTACTGTATCTTATTGGGTTTACAATAAGCGCTACCGGCGGAAGCCGGGACCCACTGGGCAATCGGTCCCAATCGCAAGTGGAAACGACCATGGGAGCTGGTCAAGTGGTTAAGTAGAGTGACTTCTTGGTTTAGCAGAGTGTGATTTGCGCTTGTCTTTCTCTTGCGTTTCTTTGTGCCATAAGCTCGTTAAGAATAATCAAGTGGTTTGTTGTCAAATTTCTAGTGTTAACCACTTCAAATGGACCCAGTGGTTTTCGTTTGAAATATTTTTCGCCCAGTATACGCCTGCGTTCGCGGTAAAAAATGTAGAAACAGAAAACGCATCAACATTCGAAACCATTTATGCTTAAACGCAGCTCTCACGGCTCTGCCAACTCGAACTGTGAAGCCACTGCGACAGTTTTCACCTACTCCTAAGTGCAGCTTTTATATACGGGTACATAATCAAAAAATAACCGAGTCATGTTTAGACACTGTCCATCGTATACTAAATGGTCAATTGGCGATTTCAGTACTGATATTACGCACGATGGTGGTACTCTTATCAACTGGCTAGAAGTGGGTTTCCATAATGTTATAGAAGCAATTTCGTGCGATGACATATTGGTGAGTTCATTAAGGAAGGTTTTGCTTCATCTCGGCGTATTTTGCCCCTCAAAAGCTATTATCCTGTAATTAATTAGAACTAACAGACAATAAAGCAAGGAACTTTCCTTTGCTTTCTTATTTGTTACTTTAAAACAATGTTGTGACTGAGAGAGAAAAAAAAAGGCCCATGAACTTCGCCTTCCGTTTATCCTGTAATTAAAAACACAGCACTTTTTAGTAGCGTATTTATGCTGTCATTTTTATTTTGCTTGTTTTTAATAATTAAGCTCCAACCCGGGTGAAGCAGTCCGCAGCAGCAACCGGATAAATACCTGCCACTCATATTCGCCCTTTCACGTGGTTTTTCAATGTATGCTTTCACTAGGCTCAATTCGTACTGTCTGCGTAATTTTGCAGTGTTTCATGTTGATGAGAAACGAATACTTCACACTCCGGTTTCGCACGATTTCACGGATGATGAAAATTTTTCGCCAATTGAACATAACGAGCTTGAATACAAAGACAAACGTCTGGCTCCTGACTCATATATTTAATCGAAACAGTTTGTCGTCAGAACGTTCTCTCAAAAATAAAAGGTCACCTACACAGCCGCAGTATTCAAAGGCGCACATAAAATGAACCCGAAGCATAACGGAATTTCGCATCGCCACTTTAAACTGAAGCTGTCGAAAAAATTACTAAGTCAGATTTAGCTGATTATCTTTTCACTCTACGAAAGCAATCAGCATAGGTACGCTTTCAAACTCGACAATTCCAGCGAAATTGCATTACTGTATTTACTGCACATATCTAAATAGCGCGCCGATTTCGAGACATCGAAATTAACGCTTAAGTTCATCGATCTCTTTTTAGTTTTAAAACACATTTAATTCTAGCCATAAAGTCCGCCTATGAAGTTAAATTATACAGAACTAATGGCGTTGCTATAAAGTAGCCCGCCACTGAGGTGTACCGGTTACAGTGCTCGGCTACTGACCAGAAGGTCGCGGGTTCGATGCCGGTCGCGGCAGCTGCATTTTGATAGAGGCCAAACGCTGGATTCGTGATTAAATGTACTTTGCCATGCCATCAGTCAGATGGTCTAAATTTTCCAAGCCCTCTACTAGGGCACGGTGGTTTCCGGGTGTTAAACCCCAAATATTATTATTATTATTATTTATTAAAACAGCTGGATTCACCCGCGGCGCCATGCACGCCACTTGTTCTTTATTAGTCTTGTCTATGTAGCATAGAGAAACATACATAAACAGCGGACACTCCCGTAGGGCCCTGCGGCCCAGTTACTGCGCTGCTTTCAACGCCACGAGTGGTTGGTAATGTCTTAAGCATAAATAAGAGATTTGAACCCGTACCCTCATGCTTCGAAGGCGAGTGTCTTTACCACTAGGCTACACGCGCATGCGTCAACTAAGGAAACACACGTACAGTACATCTAAACTATACATGAATGTGCCTCTTTGTGCAAAACAGAATGCAGAAAGACACCACTTTCTAGTCATAAATTGCTGTTTTCTGTTGTGAGGCCTTAAATGTCCTAAGCGGAACATGATGTAGAGCGGATGTGGAAAATTGCACAAGTTCATAAAATTTCTTCTTTACAGAAAATTGACGCCAAACTTTGGTATTCATTGTCCTTCTGAGGCGGCTATTACATGCTTTAACAAATGAGTAAAAGCGTGCATGGGCACGTCGACTAGCGATTAGTCGGACCCTTTCTTGCTGGGCCGCGAAAAGACCCCAGTGGCCACTCTTTATATATTACATTTCTCTATGTATATAGCGCATGTTCTATAAATATATGACGGCGCACGCAGCAACACGCAGTAATGCAGCACACATCTTTCTGCGTGGTGTGCATTCAGAGGTGTGCGCACGAACTTATTAAGAATACACTAGTTCGAGCAGTGGAACTGAAAGCGAGGGTGAACGCGAAAACAGAAGACAAGGACATATTTTCTTTTGACCCCTGTTTCGAGCTCCGTTGCTCAGACCAGTGTTTTTATTTCATTTAATTTACATACTTTCCACGACGCCATATTGACTTCACTTCAGCGGAGTGCGCATGCGAAATCGACATATTTATTGACCTATGTGTGACAGGACACATAAACAGAATGGAAAATATCGTTACTGTGTTAAAAAGCATTGGCCGTTACGTCGCGTCTGAATAAACCGTTAAGCATATGTAACAATATATTGACAACATATAAACCAGCATATACAACCAAAATTTTAGAGCAATACGCGTCAATAGCAAACAGGTATAAAGCATAAAGCTGTAATACACATGTCACCGGCCACAACAACAAGAAAAAATCACTGTTGCCAATTAAGTGTAATATTTAATCAGGAATTCCCTTCTCTAATTGTATTTAACTGAAGACATGAACCCTTATCTTCTTTCCAATACCTCTATGACGTCACTAAGCCTACTTGTCCACACATCTTCAGCAGCGAAATAAACAAATGTACCAATAATTTTATCCGATCTAGGTATTACGTCCCAAAACTACGGTACGATTATGAGACACGATGCTGGACTACTGAAATTTCGACCATTTATAGCGTTCTTCAATGTGCACTGACGTCACGCAATACACGGGCCTCCGTCGAAATGCGACAGCCACAGCCGGTATCGAACCGGCTACCTTCGGTTACCTTAGTCACTGATCCACCGCAGCGGACAAAAGCAAATGTACAACACAGTGAAAACTGATACTCACATAGATAAATGGCGTTCAGTGAGTGACCCAGAGGATGTGAACCGTGGAAGTTATTACTCCAATAACCCGAACTCCCGAGCAGCGGGTTCAACAACTGAAGAGACGGAAGTGCAGTTGATTTGAACACAGCGACCACTATGGTACATATGGTGCCCCTTTACTGATCGCCACTGTGTTACGCATATGAATTGGGGTACGTTTTCGATGCGCGCACGGTTGCAGCTAAACACTTTAGCATTTGACCCGGTGCGGTAGATACATCAGAAGGTTTGTCTCAAATCAATAACCTTCCTGCATGCTCACAATGGCACAGGTGTGACATGCTCGCGCTACAGAGATAACGGAAGAATGGCCGATAAGACCCAAGAGGTTTGGCGAACGTCCAGAAGGCAAGATATAGACTTCGACAAGGTGCGCTCTTTGGTTGCAGCGACATGGAGCATTTGAAGGTAAACAATGCCGATGCGCGAAAACAGCGCTGACCTCATGTATGAACATGCGGGCATGCATGCCTACGTATGCACAATGCACTCGATAGCTCGCCACCGAGTGATCTGGCTCGGCTTCATTTGACGTATACGAGTGTTAAGAATGTCGCAATTGAAATCAAGGAGAATAAATGAATATGGGCCGGGCACGTAAGCGCGTAGGCAGGGTAACAATTGTTCATTAAGCGTCACTAATTGCACTCGAAGAGAAGAACGCGCGAAGGGGAGGCAGTAGGTTAGAATGCACGGAACTTGGTTGATTGTGGAAACATGGGATATGCCTCTGTCCTGCAGCGGGCGTAGTCAGGCAGATTATGACGACGATGACGTATGGGAGCGATTGATTCGAAGCCTTGATTACGGTAGTTATAGCGCGAGAACAAAACGACGACACAGAGGCAACAAGGACACGAAAGACTCTTGCCTCTGTGTCGTCGTTTTGTTCTCGCGCTATAACTATCGTCATGCCATACCAACTATAGCCCAAGCTGCCACACTTGATTACGGGTCAGAGTTGTACGGGTTATGGTACGGCACAAAGAACTTTATTTATACGTGTTTCAGTTTTAAAATCTTGATTTCCCTTTACATAGACGTGTTCATAGAGGAGGCGGGGGATTTAGCGTGGCCACCCATCTCCCCATTTTCGAGAAAGTCTGCCTCGTAACCTTGCTCAGTTGGGCTTGTGAAGTCACTGATAGTTTCATTTCAGGGTTATGGTCACGCAGGTCATTTTGGCGGACCAAGAGAAAAGACATTGCAATAGAAAGCACTGTTGAAATTCCTACGCGACACGGACTTGAACAAGCGGCTGTAACAGCAATGTCAGACACCACGAAGGACAAGACTGGACTATGAGTGTGCGCGCGTGTGCTGCTTAATGTGCTGTGTTTATCTCTCTTCTCTCTCACTCCTCTCTATTCTTCATCTCCCCCGTCCCCCTATCATGCGCAGGGTAGCAAATCGGCTGCTTGTAGACTGGTTAACCTCCCTGCCGTTCTTTTCCTCCTCTTTCCCTTCCTTGGTAGACCAATAACACGGCTGTTGCAAACAAGCACCTTTACCCCCGGAAAGCCTAATGCCTTGATGTTGAAGGCATTCATCACTTCCTTTTCATTTTGCGTGTAAATTGCGAAGCTTCCAATCTTCGCAGCGACTCAGCCCCCCCCCCCCTCCTCCTAACGGGAATCCTGCACACCCACTTAACCCAAGCCATGCATAGACTTACAGATGTCATCCTTCGCAAGCTGTTATCGTGTTGGAGTCACGTAACCTGAACAATATACGACGCTCGAATGCCTCAATGGCACTGTAAAACAAATAGTAAGAAATACATCCTAAACTTATAATTGAAGGCTTCGAGAGGAGCTGCCCGTCATCGAAGAGTTTATGGAAAAATTGGTAGTCTGAATCAATTGCGACAATATGGCAATATTATTCTGCGTATTATGCTTTGGCGGTGTCTTGTGACTTTCACAGACTGTGACAAGGAAATAACCTTAATTGTGGCAAAAAGTCCTTCACAGTGGAGATCTTTCAGACCAAGCCTAGGCCATCCAGAAGGCCCGCGATGGGGAGGTGAGGTAGACCTTACTGCTTCAACGTGAGAGTCGCCTGCGTCAATTTAAGCGTTGATCTTCACGACCTGAATAAAGTTCAACGCACCATACCATGTACGGTGATGTCCATTCACATGATGACAGTATGGTGTGCCTCACGAAGATAATGATTGAGACCAGTCATGTGTGTGAAGCTCATGAACATACTTAAGATAATTTCTTTTGAATATGGAATGAAGACAGTCATGTGAGCACGCCGGGTTGCTAACGAAAGATACGCGTACCACATGCTGATATGAGTGTTTTGATATGTGGTAATTCATTTGTACTGAGAAACTATTACCTAAGGATACATGTACTACGCAAACAATATTTTTTTCTATTCCATCCTGTACAGAGGAGACTGTTACGGGGTAAGGGTAGCGTATGCTCAACTCCTCACACATAAGTTCGTTACGTATACAGCTCTAATGAGCGCTACGTAAACCAGAGTACGATTGCAAGGGTGAAGGCTTCATTTTGTGTACCCCGTTCACTGACAAGCTAGACCGGCAGGAACCCCAGTCCCACCTCCACACAAAGGCAGAAAGAGAGCCCCAGCAACTGGCAGTGTATGTCTGACGGCGTATAAGTATAGCTGCCAATCTTGTGAGGGTCGCGCTTCTATTTCTTGTCCGCTTTTCTGCCACTATACCATGCACTACAAATGTGTCTTCCTAAAATAGACCATTGAAACGTGTCTTCGTAATCTTGTTTGATCACCTCAAAGACGCGATATTGCTTGAAACTACATCGAAAAAAAAAGCGACCATTGTATGAAAGTAGTATTGTGGAAGGAGTCTTATTAAGGCATCTTATATTGCGTGACAGAAGCGTAGAATCGCGCCAGGCATCCAAACAACGTATGTGCACCGAGTGGGTGTTTCGCAATTCACAGGCACATCCAGTGCAAAGCGGCGCTGCGACATATTCAATCATTACCAGCAAAAGAACCACATTCAAAGTGCGTGTTGCCTTATGGATCCGTAGTGGGCCCTACGCGAAAGGAATAATTGTGGCGTTAGCCACTGTGAATGTAGCATGGCATTCTAGGATAGTTTTGAAGTGGCCAGTGCTGCGCGAACGGACGTTCGTTTCTTTATCACACCGTTGAAGAATCCACAGTGAATCGAAGCAGTCTAGCAGTTCAGAAGCTGATGCGCACGGTGTCTAATACGCCATCACGTTCTATCCTTGGCAAAGGTGAACTAAAGGTTAATTAGCTAAGGGGAAGTCACGCGACGTTACATAATTATCGTTTCTGGGCAGCACTAATGGGGTTAATTCGATTCAGAATGATATCTAATTGTCACGAGAGCGTTGCTCCGCTAGCGAAGATATCTTAGAGCACAACAAGCTTTTCTTTAACACTTCGTCAAAAATTTACATCAATAGCCACGTCATGGTTGAAATGTCACCATCTTCAAAAGATATGACATTATGATTTAAGAGTAAATTAGACGCCCTCACGTAAAAAAAAATATCACAGCAACTGTTGCTAGTGATAATACGAACTAACGTCCCTGTTTAGGAACTATATATATGTGCTAGGTGTGGGACCAGACAACGCAGCTCAAAGAGACCGTCTTGAAAGACAAGTTGACTGCCACAAACGAAGATGGCAGCAATGTTGTCCTTACCATCATTCGGTGTCACACGGTTCCACGGCGATGAAAGAAAGGGCGGTATGCCCGATATTATACGTGGGTTTCGGCAGCAGACAGATACGGGGCGGCTGTGCGCATGCCACGCACGTCCAGTTGAGGACAAAACATAGAAACGAGTAAATAGCAAGCGACAATTTGCCGAGGCTGTGGCGTCCACGCTGACCACCTGCGCTAGTCGAAGTCAAACCGACGGTTTACTACTGCGCGCTGCGTTTCGCAACATGCACGATACCGAAGCCGCTTTGTGGTATTGCTTCACGCAAACGAACTCTTGCAGCTGTAGCTCGATTGGCTCACGCCGTGGGTAGCCGTAACTCACAGCCACTGGTACAGGCCATGGCAAGTAATCTTAAAAGATGCGTCACCAACATCCAGCAGGATTGTGGCGTGCTCAGCCAACGACCCGAGACCGCACGCATGCTGTCGAATGCACTTCGAATACCGCTTTGTCACGTGTACAGCGCGACTCGTTTAGAACTGACCTATATTTAATCGGGCTGTAGTTTTGTCACGAACTTTTTGATTTCAACACGGAAGGAGCTTGATGTGAGCGAGCTAGTGTAGCATACTTGAAGATATGTTGCACAAAAAAAAAACAAAAAAAAAACGAGGGCTACAAGGAACGCTGACAAGGAACGAAAACTATCAACTGAAGTTTATTTAAACACGAATACTTATACGTGTAAAATAAACAATTAACACCATCAACACGCGTTCAGGCTCTATAGTTGCTTTTTGCGCCACAATGTACTCGTCTCCTGCGCGCGCAGTGTAGAAAGCTTCGAGGATCTCCCTCTAAGATATTACTGGATCGCGCCAAGAATGTCCTCAGCGGAGGCGTTCCTTCGGCGAAACAAAAAGCAATGCCTCCTTGAGGCGTTGCAAAAAAGTTATTATGAGAGGCACGACGACGCGGGAAGAGCCGAGACGTCCGAGACACGGCCAACGCGACTGCACAGAACGCAGCTTATAGAAGTTGAGCGTGCACAATGTTCCGTATTCCGGGAAGCCGTTCAGTCGTGATTGACCGCTTTGGGCCCGCTGTTCAACACTGGATTGAGCAGTTGACAATGCGCCAGCAAGAACGTTTGAAGTTGCCTGGATGCTGCTCCCCGCTAACAACTCTACGGTCAGATTCCTCTTAGATCCCGCTCTTAGGGACGCATTGAAATTTGTCTCAAGCTAGAACTTCGTGCCAACGAAATTCTCTGGTAGGTACGTAGTTGGCTCTTTGCGGAGATGTAGCGCATGTATTTTTAGAACGTCTATTCGACGCTATAGATGCCACCGTATTCAGAAACGCTCGTTGGCTTGACTTTCCACCGCCTTCAATGCAGCCCGAACCCGCCACCGCCTCAAGCGAACGATACTGGGCTCCATTAAATAGAGAAACGTTTAGCATTGCTTGAGACATTACTGTTTATCAAGGTTCAAAGGAATAACACAGTTTTTTAGAACATATTCCTTTATTTCTTTCTACCCTGATAAAATGACTTGAAAGGAAACGCTGTTAATTATCGCCACTTGCAAAAAAATTCCAGCGCGCTTTCAAGATGAAGCATATACAGGTTTGTACATAATTTGCAAGAATATACATGCCTCCAATTCGAAGGCCAAAAATACACATTACAGTACTGGAGGAACATGCTTGTCTATGTATACAAACACAATGCTCAATGAAACGCTATACAAAAAAAAAACATGAACATTGCTCGAACGTCCTTAACATTTTGTGCTCTCCAACACCCTTGGCCAGTTAAACAATTTCCAGCGCACTTCGCACATGCCGAGAATAAAGCGAAAATCGTCAAAGGCTACAAGTCGAAGGCTGTCAAGTAGCTGAAAGGTTGAATAGAGAACAGTAGTTTTGTAACTACATCAAAGGCCACTTTCAAGCATGTTCCAGTAATACATTCCAATGACTACAGCATAAAACTTGCAACAGTTGCAACTTGATATTAATTGCATTTAAGCTAGGTGAAATGTAATCATTCTTGCTTATTCGACACATAGCGTGATTCATCAAGGATTTTATCTGAAAGTAAAATTCAGAACACTGTGTTGCAAAAAGAAAGACGTACATAAAAAAACAGCCATACAAGGTTTACATTCTAATGCGAAAGCATAAACACCACCTGCTACAGTCTGTGGTATATGTAAAAAAAAGTACACCACAAACAAGTAAACCTTACTTAGATTTTTGCAACTCTAAAGTTGATTGAACAAAGATTTTTTTTTCTGCAATACTATAAATTCGACAACTTATAGCCATAGAAGAGATATGTCGGAGTTCGGTAGCTGTATTTTAATTAGTGCATATCAGCACATGAATGAACTTTGACTGTTTAAAAATTTCCGACTATTTTTCTAAGACCACTTGGTTTGCTATTTATGTCGAAAAATTTAGAGTAGTAACATACATAAACTTTAGGGCATGCTCTACCCTTTGCAGGTGTCTCTGTTGGCAGTGACTGACATGTTTTATACATTTCATTCAAGGCACTACAGGTGGAAAGACAATGTACATTCAGTATAGCGTCAGATAGCATGATGACAAATGCACATTTCACTACTGCATGGAGGTAAGGGCAACAGCGCTGAGTCTATAAGTGTAGTCATGCACATTTTCTCTTATTCTTTCAGCGTCACGGTCAACCAGCAGCCAGTGCTTACGAGGTGCCATTTCCATGAATGGGCGCCTCATACATTACTCGAGTGTCTTTCTGACAATGACACATCCCAAAAGAGCAAGAAAGTGCACAGGCCCATCAAGCACATAACATATACAGACAATGTCATGCACAGAGTGAAAAACACATCTGCCAATACATACCACAGAAGGAGAATTTGGCAAGAATTTGGCATTATGTCTAACCCAAGTTGACATGCAATCAGGTGGGCGTGACATGTTAGCTAGCTAATATCTCACTGAGATTTTTTTTGTTCTTTTTTTGTCAAATGTACTTCCTTAAACACTCATGAAGTGAAGAGCAAAAAGCCATGAAACTTCAAAGAATAAAAACTATAATATTAGCTCATGGAAGCACCTCAATACTGTGCCTAGAACAAAACAGGCTGCCCTTCTAAGAGACATCTTTACGGCAGGCAGCAAACGTAGAATGAGCAAAGCTGCACTGTTTTGATTGGAAGTATGTGCGGCTACTAAGCCTTCACAAACTTTTACCAAGACGATAGTCAAAGAGAAAAAGAAATAGGGGATTGACAAAGTTGCACATGCGCAAAAAACGTGCCAAGACATGTTTACAACTAAAAATACATTTCGCGAATACAGCGTCATGCAATGCCTGCATGTCATGCAATTCAGGAGCAAAACATGGCGACATCCCCCGTGGCACAAACTATGGAGCATAAATCACGGCACATTTCTTTGTCAGTTTCCAAAGAGTTTCCTAAAGAGTAACTAAAAGTGACTAGTGCTTTGTTCATATACATGGCTGACCACACTGTTTCATCACAGTCGCATTCAAACGGATGCAAACTAAAATTTTCACCTTTCATGAAGTCAGCAAAGTATTAAGTTTTAGATCAGATTTAATGTCCGATACGATTACCAAGTGGACTATCACAATATGTATGTTCACTTTCCCACAAAGTCTCAAGAAGCAAGAAAGTTGCTGACAACCACTTTATGTTATCAATGCACGAATTCCCCAGTTAGTACCATTTAAAATACATTAAAATTATAAGAACATACAGACCTCGTTATTTTTCTGTGAAATACTGTGGGAAGACCACTGCTTGAACCTTTAAATGTAAAGCAACATTCCTTGGATATAAGTACAACAAACAATTCTATGCCACTCCTTAGAAAACCAATGCCTTTACACATATGCAAAGTCACTGAAATCAAGCCCATTGCAACCAACAGCCTATGTTGCCGCGTTATTTGATCTCCCCCCTTCCCCGCTGGCCAGACCTCCCTCTACCATACCAGCAACACAATCTTCACTGTTCCAGTACCTAAACCGAAAGCCATAAAGGCAAGCAGCATGTCGAAGCTACCACTAAATCTATGAGAAAGAAGAAAGGCATGGTGTAGAACAAACAAGATGGCACTGTCTCGGCCAATATCTTCGTTCACTAATCATCATGAACGACAAAAGAAAGCATTGGTCTTAGTGACAATATACTCGGAATCCTAAAAATATAAGTTCCATTATTTCACATAGGTACGACTGATAACAAGCTAACAAAACCTAATTGGTAAACACCATATATAGTGGCGCAACAGGGCAAAGCTGGCTGCCATGCTCAGTCTTCGAAACAAGTGGACTACAGAGGCACCTGGTATCAACAGTAGTGGGCATTCGTGGACGGTAGTAGCACTAGTGACTAGCGGGACGTCCTCTTGTGACTCCCTTCATATGCCAATCGAGACTGGTGAGCTGCAAGGCAGGTGAAAGAACAAGCAGTCTGAATGAATACAGTAGGAGATGCCCCCCAGAGAAGCAATGCACTGTCAATTGAGACACAAACAAGTCAAAGCACCCAAACATATTATTCCAAAAATAAAATATTAAAGGTGCCCAAACTCCACACATATAAACTATTCCTTGAAATTATGCAGGCAATTTAGGTCTGACAAACAATCCTTCCAGACTAAATACAGTGTGAAAACGAGAAGCTATAATTTCAGAAATAGTTTTGTGTCTATACCACACAGCAGAATAAATTACGGGGAACAAAAACAGGCTGTACAAATTCCTAACCTCGTGAAAGACTACACCTTCACCATAGATCTCCTCAAATCCAGAATTAGAAAGGAAGCGTATCAAAAAACTACAAAAGAATTGTTCTTTTCAGAGAACTAAAGCAAACAAAAGAATAATATAGTTCTGTACGAAATGTTATGCATTGTTTCAATTTTCTTTCTTTTTATCTTCTCACATGTGGCTTGGGAGCCCCTTTTTTTGTGTGTGTGTGCGTGGATTAGTACATATAATGCAATTTTTATTTTCTGCTCGAGGGTTGTTTGTGCATATTTTTCAAAAGTTAGAAATGTGATTATGTTCTTTTTTTTTTCTTAGTGCTTTATGACTGTACCATTGATCCGAGAAGTAGTATTTGATCTTCATGTACACTTTTATATTTGTAAATGTCTTTTCCTGCTGCTGCTGCTGCTGCTGCTGCTGCTGCTGTGTGGGTGGCGCAACCCAGTCAGGCAATGTTTGCCTTTAGCCATGTCTCCTTGGACAGTTTTGTGAGTGTTCTTAATAAATTAATGAATAAAAAATAAAGAAAATGGTAAGCTTCTTTTTGCTTTTTCAGTCATTTCAGAAACTTTTCCGACTTCGCATTGAGCCTGTGATTTGCACAACCATTATAAACTGGGTAGCTGCAGAAACTCGTGATCTGACATGAGGCACCTTTTGCCTTAGATGCCTCATCAAAGACGAATGTTGAAGATCAGTGTCTCTACGTGTCAGCATTAAAATAAGTGACGCTAGGTGTTGTTATATAGTTACATTATCACATGACATCATTATGAATATAAAACAAACTTTTGACAAAGTCTTGTGACATAATGGGATGTCATCAGACCGAATTGTTGCCAGGTTGGTGGATGGATCATGAAGGCAGCGTTAAACTATGATTGGTCACAGCCCAAGAAAAAAATTCAAGCTCACCCACAGCGGCCATCATCCCACTCAAGCAGAATTTGCATAAACGTCCCACTGAATTGTGACTGGTTATTTGTGCGACGTCAGGCAGATTTAACTGATTTTAGGCGTATGACTTGCCCGTACAAGCATGTGTTCACTTCACTAGTTCTTCTTTGAAAAATCTGACTTTTTGGCGAATTTCATCAAAAGTTCCTGTAACGTTCTAAGAAAGGATGATGAACTTTCCATTTATAATACGCGTAGCATTTTCATCACCAGTGAAAAAGTGCTTATTGTCAGAACAGAAATCGCCAATGAATGCTCTGTTGCACCAATAAATAACAGGTGCACTGCAGTACTGGGGGCGGAGCATGTTTTTATTAATAGCCTTTTACACAATATAGGTGAAATGCAGGAGGCTTGTAATGCCTCCGACCTTGGCGGCAGTGCTAAACACCATTAGGTGTAGAAAGCTTTTGGTAGGGGGGTGGGGGAGAATCATTACATCAGTTGAAATGCATATAGTCTTGCGATTTTTTTACAATTTATAAAGAGCTGTTGTAGCTTCCTGTATATAAGGCCAGTCATACAATTTAAAAAATGGGAGTATTAGCTTGATAAGCTTGCCACTGCAGTTCAGTGAATTGAGGCACTGTACAAGCAGCTTGCAGGGCAGGGTAAACTGGAACATTCACTATTTGGAGACATGTAACCGTTGGGATATCAGCTAACCGCTTATTAAAGTTGTGAAAATGGCATCCATTGTATTATTACGAAGCATAACTTTTCATAATTCCATTTGCGTTTACCTCAGTGACACAAGAAACATGTTGGAATGCCGAAGCAGGCCACTAAAGTATGAGTTAAGGCTCTTTTCAAATGAGACCGTAATGTTGTTGTGATCACGTCACACCTTTAGCACATAAAGTAAGCAAACTTAATTTTTGTATGCTTCACTGGCAGATGTGCATTACAGCTTATGTCATAGTACCAGTTTGCGGTGCTGTACATCACAATTCAATTTAATTAATGGCAATATGGCCACAGCACTGCAGAAGCCATTGCAGAAGTTCCAGAACTGCTTTGCATAATGAAGGCCGCCCTGCACAAATTATTGAATTCTGAAAGTTCCTTTTGATAGTGGCCACCGAGGTATGCTGGAGAAAACAAGTTTGATAGTGGCCACCGAAGTATGCTGGAGAAAACAAGAAGTGTGAATGCATTGCTAGCCTTTAAATAAGTGACAAATAATGACAGATTTTATGTAACCAATAGGCAATGTCATTGAACAGGTGACTCTTCTTCCCTAAGTATAGTGAAGATAGCCATGGCCAGGCACTGTTGCGTGCAGTGAAAAATAAATGTCACAGTTGCCCCAAAAGGGCAAAGCAATAAATGCCATAGCAACATATACGAATGTTTTGCGAAGCAAGGCTAGCATCAGATCTCGCGTAACTCTACAAAACGCTGGTGCAAAGGCGCTTACACTAGAGCGACACAAAACTGACACGACCCCGACGAAGACAAGAGGCAGACCCAGACCATCCAGCGACCAGTCGCCCGCCGACGAAATCGCCAGACCACATGGTCACACTAGGCTGACGACACCGCAAAAGACAGCATGTCATTTTAGTGCAACATAATGACACACCGAAAACAGCAACAAAACGTATCAGCAGAACTGGCATCGGGAGATCTGCGCCTGAGTGAAAATTCGCCCATGTCCTAGCTTCAAAGGACCACGAAGGGAGAACACACACGAAGGGGGAAATAACAACGCCCCCTCCGAGGCTTCCGCAGCGTTTTAATAGGCATCTCGGGCACCTCACAGAAGTATTTTCTTGGCTTCCTTTTTGTGTATCCCAATCCCAGTCCCTAGACGCCATAGATTATGGCGGAGGCTGCGCGGCATGGCCGAAGAGGGACAATGGCCGAGCATTGAGCATGTCTGAAAATGAGGTGCAGGTGTGCAAGTTTAGACGGTGTAACTGCGTGTGCCTCAAGTGCGACTACAGAATTGGCCAATGAAAGACTGTGAGCACGACAGCGCACAGACGGAGTCTTCCAGAGACTACCGGTGGACTGGTTGTGTCGTTGAAGTGTAATTATGACGACGACAAGACAAAAGACGCTCCCAAAGACAGTCGGCAGACCAAAATCTGTCTCTCTAGTGTAAACGCATCATAAGAGAACACGGCCACTCCAGGTACACTTTTGGTACCATTTTTTCGTGTTGAGAGCGCAGCCCCTGCATGCTGTGGGGGCACAATGCGAGCGCTGATCGTTGCCTCGATAGCGCGGCAACGATAAGCCCTTCTCCCCCCTCCTTTTAGCTCACTAGCTCACGAGATAAGCGCGCGCGCAGACGACCCCGGCGAGAAAGGCAATGTTCGCTCCGCAGAAAGAGGAGGCTAGCGCATCATTCCGCGTATATATATGCATACATATACATATACGTGAATGACGGCGGCGGCAAAAACCAGCTGAGGCTGTACATATCAGTACATATAATTGCTATCGCAATAAAATGAGCTCTGCAAGATGTGCATGAGCACTGAAATATATGAACAAGGTGCAGGAAAACCTTGGCACTTTCTACAATTGTGGCTACACACCTCTACCTATTCTTCAACACCGTGCTGCATAACACGTGAATTGACAGAAGAAATCTGCACGCTTGCTTACTGTAGCAAAAACTCCTCATGGAACAATTTTCCCTGCATCTTTTTCCAAACAACCGTTCGTATACTGTGCATACACTACCATAAATATAATTGATTGATTGATATGTGGGGTTTAACGTCCCAAAACCACTATATGATTATGAGAGACGCCGTAGTGGAGGGCTCCGGAAATTTAGACCAGCTGGGGTTCTTTAACGTGCACCCAAATCTGAGCACACGGGCCTACAACATTTCCGCCTCCATCGGAAATGCAGCCGCCGCAGCCGGGATTAGAACCCACGCCCTGCGGGTCAGCAGCCGAGTACCTTAGCCACTAGACCACCGCGGCGGGGCACCATAAATATAAGTTAAAATATTTATTTTGCTTTGAAACAGATATTTTTTGAACACATAAAATAGCACGCAGCAAAATTGAGAAATGGCCACACCATGAACACAAATCTTGAATCATGAAATAGCAAGAGCAAATTTTACTTATTCCGCATTGAAGCAGCTTATTTGGTTTTGTACTCAAATCGCACGGCAGTTCAGTGTTCAAGACTGCACATTTTCAGCAATTCCATTTATAAAATACTTCAAATGAAATTTTCCTGTCACTGCGCAACACGCTTTGTAGAAGTATCGTGCATTTCCATATTTAGACGATAAGGCCATGCTAAACTCAAGCACAATTCATTTTAAAAAATGAAACAATTACAAGAAATCCTGCATGTATACTGCCATTTATCGGGCTGTTGGCCTCCGCAAAAGGGAATTTTAAAAATTAAAAGAGGAAAAACAAAAGAAAATGACACTCTTCAATGGACGGTATGTAGGTACACTAATTTATTCGCAAAAGGTACGAAGACGAATGAAACGGTGCTTGAAAACGAGAGCAGAGAAACGGAACCGAGGGGGCAACGCCTGGAGAAACGAAACCGAAACCGCGAGACCCCACGCGCGCTGCGCCACCTACTTCCTGTCGCATGTTATTTTTTTGGTCAATTTGTCACAGCTCGTCGTCGAGAAGTCGCGTTGTGCACGTGCAAACCGCCTCGAACTTCCCCAACTCCGGCCAGTTCGTCGTTTGTCTTCAACCTCAAGACAAAAGGGAATCAGTGGCACCGCGACAAACACCGTCCGGCTGTTGTCTTCACAAGACCGCTCAAGCGCACACGATGGGCGACGCCGAGAGCGGAAATCTCGGGGTGCCGACGACGCAGAAGCCGTCAAAGAAAGCCGCGCGTCCTGCAGCCCCTGTCGTGGTGCCCAAGAACGCCTACGACGTGCAGCGGCTCAAGCTCGAGCGACTCATGGAGCACCCCGACCGCCCCGTCGTCATACCGGAGCCCGCCAAGCCCCGGGCGCCGCACGACGCTCCCGAGTTCGTGCGGAACGTGATGGGCTCGAGCGCGGGGGCCGGGTCAGGCGAGTTTCACGTCTACCGACACTTGCGACGCAAGGAGTACGCTCGTCAAAAGTACATCGACCAGCGCGCGCACGAGGACCAGCTAGACGCCGAGTTCCGCGAGCGGGTCGAGCGAAATCGCCGCGAAGCCGAGGAGAGGACTGCCAAGAAAAGGGCTAAGCGGCTGCGTCGGAAGCAGAAGGCGAAGGAGCGTAGGACTTCGGGCAAGACGTCGACCGGCAGTGGCGCGGCGGACAGTTCGTCGTCCGAAGATGAAGAACAAGAGACCGACGACAACAGCCGAGCGTCGGAGGACGCGACGACTTCGGAGGAGACGGATAAGCCCACAGCAACGGAGATAGCCCCCGGCAACGATCCCGACGCTGTAAGCCGCGAAACTAACGAGAAGTCTTCCGGCAGCTCGCCCCAAGACGAGGAGGAACGCGATGAGGGCACAACCGCGGCCTCGCACACGACAACGACACTTGCGAGTAGTAAGCCTAGCGAGGACTCCACAGTGGAAGGAGCTGCTCCCGACAACGACGCGACGATTTCAGCTGGCGCCGGCGATACCGGCCAAGAACCGCGCCGGGTTCGAATGTTAACGGCCGACGCAACTGACATCTGCACGCAGGCGACTACGGGATCCGAACCCGGCGACCCAGCGGTGAGCGAAATGGCCTCCTGAGGGGGCCCCCTAATATTCGTCCAGAAAACCCGGCCGTTAAGATGTGTGGACAGCGCCGGAATTCGCCAAAAATTAGGATAAAGTGACTGGCGCACGGAAATGTTATGAACTTTCAGTGCCACGAACTGTTTTTGCAACAACGTGCGAGTGGGCGTCATGACCGAGGATTGTACCCCTCTCTTAGGTTGTGTGGAAAACTGATACTCGTAAGTTTGTTTCGCCACTATGTGGCTGCCTGTTACAGAAAAAGAATAAACGAAGTGTTTGTTTACGAGTTGGTGCTACCCTGTTTGTAGTTGGTGCTGAAATCAACCAACAACTCTCCCATATTGTCCAGCCGCATGTTTAACAAGCACCAAGAATTCATAACAGGTGCCATTAATACTTTGTGCAGTCGATGAAGCTTTATGTGACAGCAGAAGTAGCTCGTTTTATAGCTGTTCTGTCACCTGCACATCCTAACAGAGGCCTAGAAATTTGTGAAGTCTGGTAAAGCTGTGCGACATCTTGCATCGTACTACACATCACTGTATGGCTTACGAGTAATATGTTACGCATTTAGTTTCTATAAATACCCTAGAGGAAACTCTGGCAACGGGCACACACAAAGCGCTTCAGCTAGTATAGGAACAATGAACAGCACACGGATTGGTCTAATCTTTGTTCTTTAGCCTTTGCAAGGCCTGGAGCCGCTGTGTCAAGGTTCAGCCATTGTGCAACACTTTCAGTTTCAAACCTTAACGCTTTAGGCCTACCGATTCAAAACGGCTCACGGAAGTTCACAACAGTACACTCTTACATTCGGAACAAAACCACAAGTGCCTTTGAAGCTGGCAAGTGCTGAGACTGGACCCTCTAGTTAAGCTTGGGAAACTATTATGTTATCAGCACCCAGTTCTTTAGACTGTTCACAGCACGACAAAGCTGTGAACAGTCTAAGGAGCTGCATGCCCATAACATTATAACAAATCATCGTGCCAATTACGATGATTTCATATATTCTGATGGCATCTACTGTAGTTTTCATATTTGCAAATCTGAAAAATTGTCCTCAGAGCGGGCCTAAGACTTGAGTACAAATTCACCAACTGTTTTCATCATTCTTGAGCTCATAATTCACGTTAAGTGCAGAAAAACAGCAAAAAAAAAATATTCTGTTCATTGCGAATATAACCAGCATGAAAGACAGTGGAAAAGAACCAGTGCTAAACTACCAATTGGGCATTATTGGGCAAAGGAGCCTTTCTATAGCATCACATTACCACTGTCAAGAAGCCTTGCACAGAGAAGTAGCCAGTAATAACCCACAACAGCTACCTCCCGACAAAAAACAGGGCCAACAACATAGCCGATTATGTAGGTGCCCATGGCAAGTGTCGAATTGCACTGAAAGACAACTTATCAATTAGTAACATGTTAAAATAGGGCACTGGGCATGCTCCTTCCAATCAGTACGAAAAAAAACAAGGTAGTCAATTTAAACGTGGTAGGCTAAAAATGAGAATGTAAACAAAGTCAAACTTGAGAAACAAAATAATGGATGATCGAGGTTTCTCCATCATACAAAAGTTTAGTCACTATTCGACAAACTACACTTGTCTAATTAAAACCTAAAAACTTAAAAGACTACTTATACATGGCTTGCCAACAAAGCCATCACGTCTTTTGAAATAAGGATGGTTAGCTATGAGTAATCTTTCAAGTCTTGTCATGCACTGTATGCAACTTGAATCGGCTGGAAATGGAATTTGCACATCCATAAATTGTTCTAGAGCAGACAACTAGCACTCACTTAGCTCATTTCTACATCAAAGCGGACGATCGAGCTAGTTGATTCATAATCGATGTATAATACACAGAAAACTGCAACGACGACAAGCATACGAGAAGAGACGACGACTGCTTGTCGAGTCTACCTCTCATCTCGTATGCTTATCGTCCTTGTTCTCTTCTGTGCAGTATGCATAGATCATTCATTGTGCAGCATGTTGCCGCAGAGGATAATGTTGCCGAGGGCACTCCCATATTCAACGAACCATTCGAAGAGCCCTGCTCCAGGTGCCACGTCAAAATTATGCAACGTTTGTCTACTTGAAATGAATACAATTGTTGAAGGAACCCTGCAGCACTTTTCCAGCGTGGTCAGAAAGCGCAGCCCGTTGGTAGCTGAGGCTCCCGAGAACATGCGAGCCAAACACAACAGATGAACTTGCGGCCTGGAACTTGCAATTTATTCTCAAAGTAAGCCTAATATCTCTCGCTCTACTCTCCACAAATGATGCCTCAAATGACCGCACCATCATGACAAACTCCACGGCTATGAGCTGTTTCAAGCATAGTGAGCTTGTGTAGTTACCATGGCCCCAAAGGATGGCACGGCATGCCCGCCCACTGACTCGCACAGAAAGTACGGCATTCAAAGTAACAAAAAAGCACTCCAGGTCACAACGAATGCCGACAAAAAAAAGTAGCTTTTGCCCTCTATTCAACCCTCCCTTTGTGGCTTCCAATGCGCTCACTGGTACGAAAAGAGAGATACTGCACTCAAAGCGCGCGACTAATCTCTGAAGCTACCCTGGCACTTGATGGATTCTTAAAATTTTTGTGGCCGTTGAATTGGAAGGCAATAAACAACTTCAATGAAGCCATTCGATCATTACTTGGAAAAGTGTTGCAGAGACGCAATAACAACTCGCCTGCATGCTTCTGGGCCTTCCCGCCTGTTTTTATAAAAAAAAATAAAACATGGACATCAGAACAAATATATCTGTAAGTAAACATTCATTAAAATTCATTGCCAAGCAGCACACAAGTGAAAATATTACCTTTTTTTTTTTCTTTCGATAGAATATGAAGTACTCAAAAATAAAGTTGTACACATTAGACGCACTTACAGACAGACTATCAGAATTATCATCTGGAGGTGATATACTGAGCTTCAAAAAAAAAGTAAAACACTGAATATGACGAGATGAAGAGTCTGGCACGAGTCTCCTCATAGTACAAACTAACTTGCCAATGTGTTAAGACGCACTTACACTAGAGTGACACGACATCAATTTTGGCCTGCCGACTATCTTTGGCAGCGCCTTTGGTCTCGTCATCGTCCTACTTACACTAAAGCTACGTCAACAGTTCGCCAAAGGTCCGTGGAAGACTCCATCTGTGCCTTGTCGTGCTCACAGCGTTTCATTGGCCAACTACCTAGTCACACTGGAGGCATGCGCCATGCACCGACTGAATTTGCGTGCAGAAATTAAGAACAGGGCACCACCAGCTCCTCATTTTCAGCTGTCCTCCCTCCTCTTCTATTCCTCTCAAGCTACGTGGCACAACCCCGCCATCCCCGAAGGTGTCGAGAGACGCGGGTGGGGACGGATGAAGGAAAAACGAAAAAAAAAAAGACATTCGTGGGGTGCGCAAGATGACCAATAAGAAGCTACAGGGTCTCGTGCGAGGCGTTCTCATCTGCTTTCCAAATCTCCCCCTTCGTTGTTCAAAGGAACGGTATCGGCAAATTTTCGCTCAGGCATGGATCTTTCAATGACCTGCCAACAAGTCCGTCGATGGGTTTTACTGGCGCTTTTGGTCTGTCCTCTATCATGTTACACTGCGACGACATGCTGTCTTTCGAGGCATTATCGTTAGTTTAGTGTGAACAGATGATTCAGTGATGACTCGATGCCCTACTGTGTGTGTATCTCATGTCGCTCTGGTGTAAACGCGCAAGGCAGGGAAAACAACAAAACTCGTAATTATGAATGTTGGCAATCGTGACAACGTGAGGTGAAGAAAAGATGTGGCAACAATACCAGAAAGTGGGTAGCCCATTAGGATACTGCCCAGCAACCTGACAAATGGAGCGGTCTCGTCTACCCTTGACGAGATCAACGACTGCCTTATTGGTAACAGCACGGTCCACAATCGTGCGACGATAAAACTGGAACGGCCTACCAGAAACTACAGATCCAAGCCCGCCATGCTGAACTATAACCAAGTCAAACACTAAGCGAACTACAGTCGCATTATCCAGAGCTCTTTAGGCGTATGAGCTGAAAAACGCCTCATCGGCTTCATGTATCAAAATCCAGACACAACGCTAGAAGAAATTGCCGGATATTTGTCGATCGTTGCACTATCTGTAGACAAGAAAATAAGCTAATACATGGTATTTTTGCATTTTCGATGCTCAAGCCTGCAAGGGAAGTGCCATTGATAATGTCAGTAGGGTCTTTACACATCATCATCAGCCTGACTATGCCCACTGCAGGGCGAAGGCTTCTCCCATGATTCGCCAATAAACCAGGTCTTGTGCTTTCCGTTGCCACGTTATACCCACAAACTTTTTAACTCTCATCAACCCACCTAACCTTCTGACTCCCCTTCGTGCGTTTGCCTTCTCTGGGTATCCAGTCAGTTACCCTTAATGGCCACTGGTTATCCTGCCTACATGCTACATGTCCGGCCCATGTACATTTCTTTTTCTTGATTTCAAATACGATATCCTTAACCCCGGTTTGTTCTCTGACCCACTCTGCTCTCTTCTTGTCTTTTAAAGTTACACCTATGATTTTTCTTACCATCGCTCGTTGCGTCGTCCTCAATTTAAGGTGAACCCTCTCTGTAAGCCTCCAGGTTTCTGCTCCGTAGTTAAGCACTGGCAAGATGCAGCTGTTATATACCTTCCTCTTGAGGGATAGTGGAAATCTACCAGTCATGATTGGGACTCGCTCGCTGGATTTTGTGCCGACCGGTTGTGCGCCCGCGCGCTTGCGACCTTCGGCGTCACCATAGCTCTGGCCGACTGGGCTCGCCCTACGTCACCTCCTGCCGCCGACGGCTTTCGACGACAGTGAACCTCTGACTTACTGGACCTGCTCTACGCCATCTACAGACGCCGACAACATCTCTCGCAAGTGTACCCCGTCCTCGGACTCCAGTGACCGTGCTTCCATCTTTCTTGTCTCTCCTATCCCCTCAGTTTGTTGTTGCTTCTTCTTCCTCTTTCCTATACCTTTACTTCTACCCTTTCTTATCCCTCCTCACCCCCATCCCGTGTGAGCCCTGTGGCGGTGTCGCTCACTGAAGCAGACAATAACGGGGCTCACTTTTCTCTTCCTTTCTCTTTATTAAGAACCACTCATACCAGTCATGATTTGAGAGTGCTTGCCAAATGTGCGCCACATTCGTATTCTTCAAGTTACTTCAATCTCACGGTTCGGTTCCGCGGTTATTACCTGTCCTAAGTAGACATATTCCTGTACAACTTCCAGC